GCGATCACCTTATTCCCAGGAGTTATTTTCATTCATTCATTCTTTGATATTATAACAACCCTTTTGTACAGTTTTTCTTTTAAACTTGTTTATTGCAAACTTTGAATATATTCTGGGATTTTGTTATAAAAGCGTATACATTGCCCTATAAATGAATTACCGATTCTGTGGAGTCTAGTAACTGGCATTACAAGCTTATGTTTGTTCCTAGTGTTTAAAGTATTATTAAAACTGTTCTTATTAAAGCTATTTATGTTTTTATGTACACACATTACATTTTCATAAATATATTGCGATTCCAAAGTTAATATGTTTATTTCTTTAAATTTTTGTTTGAAGGACTCTTTACAATTTAGGTTATAAATCGCCCGAACGGCTCTCTTTTGCAAAACAAATATAGCTTCAACATCAGTCGCATTACCCCATAGTAAAATTCCATAAGACTTTAAGCTATGAAAGTAACTAAAATACACTAATCTAGCTGTCTCAACATTTGTGAGACTTCTAATCTTTCTTACAGCATATGCTGCAAAACTAAGTCTGCTTACTAATTTAGATATATGGCGGCCCCATTGAAGTTTCGCGTCAATAGTAATACCGAGAAAAACAGTGGTATCCACAAGACTCAACTCCTCCCCATTTAACAGCACATTGGTATTCGAATGTTTTACATTAGGTATTTGTAAATTTAATACACTTTTTCTTATTGCCGTTTAAAAGCATATTATTGGCGTTAAACCAATGTACTAATTTCGATAGAGCATTTTTTAATATCGCCATAATTAATTGACTGCCGTTTGAGTTTGAAAATTAAAGAGGTATCGTCAGCAAATAATACTATATCGTGATTGTCCCCTCCAAGATAAAGTAAGTCATTAATATAGATTAAAAACAGGAATCGGCCAAGAATCGAGCCCTGAGGAACGCCCATCGATACTACCAATCCGAAGGAACCTTTACCATTGATCACGACTTTTTGAGTTCTGTTACTTAAACATGAAGTAATAAGTCTAAGCGCCAAATTTTTTACACCGTAATGTCGTAGTTTCCTGATTAATGTCTCATGATGAACACAATCGAAAGCCTTGGAAAGATCACAGAAAACACTTAAGGCATCTTGTGAATTCTCCCAGGCATTAAAAATATATTTCATAAGCTCAACACCGGCGTCAGACGTCGAGCGACCCTTTGTAAAACCAAATTGGTTTTTATGAAGTAATTTATTTGTATTAAAAATAATTTACAATTGATCAAAATTATTTTTTCAAATATTTTACTGAGAGTTGGTAATACAGAAATAGGTGTAAAATTAGCAGGGTCCAATATACTACCAGATTTAAATAAAGATATTACTTTACTATACTTCATTAAATCAGGAAACACACCAGAATCGAGTATTAAAAATAATAGCAAGATGACGTGCAATTAAATCTATTATGGACGCAATAACTGTAACGGAAATCCCCCACAAATTTGCGGTTTTTTTACATCAATGGATTTGAAGTATTTTACAATAACTTGCGGTAATACTTTTACAAATCTAAATTCTTTTAAACAGGTATTAACATTCTGTTTGAGTGATGACTCGGCGACAGTTGGAGAAGTATTCAATTATTCTGTTGTTAGGATAGGAATATCAGTAAAATTTTTCTCAAACACCGCTGTGACTTCTTGATGTAGTCAATTCATTGTTAATTTTTAATTGATAGTTTCAGTTACGAGGTTTGCCTTTACCGGTTTTGCTGTTAATTATACTCTCCACGTCATTTTAATTTTATTCTTAGCTGTCTTCATTTTGTTGCAAATATGTAACGATTTGGCTGTGGAGCAAACTCTTTTAAGAATTTTAGAATAATTTTTGACATATTCTTTAAAAGCACCGTCAATATTATATGATCTCTCATGGTAAAGGTCATATAACCTTCGTCTACTTTTATGAATTCCTACTGTACTACTAGTAAGTACCATATTATGCTTTGGGTGAAACTATAAAGTTTATATGTATGTTATAAAAATGTTTATATTTGTATGTATGTATGTACTATGTATAAACCTATATACCGATGGATATGAGACGTGGTCTTTCACTGCTGGCCGTATGAGGAAGCTCAAGTTCGCTCAGCGAGCTATGGAGAGGACTATGCTCGGTGGTGACTCGGCATGATAGACTTAAAAACGAGGATATCCGCAGTAGAACCAGATTAACCGACATAGTCCAAAGTATTAGAAGCTGAAATGGCAATGGGCCGGCCATTTAGCTTGAAGAACCGAAAACCGATGGGGAAGAAAGGGTCTCGAGTGGCAGCCTCGTACTGGCGGGCGAAGTGTAGGGTGTCCCCCCACTAGATGGAGTGACGACCTGGTAAGACATACAGGAAGTCAATGGATGCAGGTTGTTTGCGAGTTGTGACCGTGCTTTGTAGTATTCCTTGGGGGAGGCCTACGTTCAGCAGTGGACTTGCGAAGGGCTGTAATAATGATAATGTACTATGTGGCATTCCTTACGGGAGAACTGTGTTCAACAGTAGATTTGTGAAGGGCTGTAAAGATGATTATGTATATTATGTGCATGTGCTTATAAGAGATGCTATAAAAGTCCTTCCGATAGATAGTGGTACACGATCCCATTTAGGCCAGAGGCCGAGACCAGCCATGGGCAATAGTATGAAAGGTTAGAAATGTGTAATACTGCGATGATCAAACACCTGCTAAACATAACAAGAAAAAGAAGAAGATTTATGTATGCAAGTATGTCGGGCTTCACCCAAAAAGGTTTCTTGCTTTTCTCTATAACGAGTTGTTTGATTGTTTTTAAAGTACTCATGATGATTTTTAAAGCAATGTTACTATCGTCTCTCTTTTCACGTCATTTTCAATAAGCCTATTTATTTTATATGTCACAGTCAAAACTTATAACCAATAAAAACCAATTTAGACTGCAAAAATCATACTGCAAAACAGTTTTTACTGATTTTTATAGTAAAAGTTCTTTTAACCAACGTTCTTAGTCAAAAGTGGTGTTGTCTGATTTAAACTTCAGACTATCGGTCAAAACTCGCAATATCAGTAACAGTAGGTTAAGTTGCGCCTGGGGTGAGCTTTGGACCACCCTAAAGTCGCGTACATTATAATAATATAATATAATAATGAAAAATTTAACTTTATAATTTCAGAAATTAAAAAAGTATAAGTCAAAAGAAGTTTTGACTAACATTGTTGGTCAAAACCATTTATAAGCGATGTAATTTGGTCAAAATCACTAATTATACACAGTATTTTTGCAATCTTTTTTAATCTTTATTTTCAAAAAAGGGGTTTTGTCACACAGTGACTATGTCACCCCCGTAAAATACGAGGGTGACACTGAAAGTTTTTAGAACTGGCCCCTAGTAAACGATATAATAAAAAAATAAGTTTAAATATTGAAAAAAGAACTCTTTGCCAATATTATTGTGTATGTATAAATGACAATATGTATAAATAACAAACTTATTGGGCCTTATTTTATGCCACAAAATTTAAACAGGGAAATTGATGAATTTTTTTTGCGAAATGATTTAGAAAACATGTCAGTAGATGTTCCAGAAGAAATTAAAAGTAATTTGATTTATAAGCATGATGGCTCTCCAGCTCACTTCCGGTTATAGGTGGATTGGGAGGGGAGGGCCAATTCCGTGGCCTGCACAAAGTCCTGATCTGACGTCACTAGACTTCTACGTTTGGGGTCACACGAAGGACTTAGTCTACGTGACCCTAGTAAATTTTCTTGAAGAATAAGACTTTAAAGGCGTATCTTAAATGCGGCAGATCAGATTAGGGCTACAATATATTTAAAAATAACGAAAAACCAAGTTATGAAAATAATCAGGACGTGTATCCGCAACCAAGGGACTCATATTGAGCAAGATATTTCATGTTGACCTTTAAAAGTTGTTTAAGTTTAGAAATGACACACATTAGTTTAATTGACTGTAAGTTTTCAATAAATGTATTCTTACCTTTTATATTATTACCTTTTTGGATAGCTGATTAAATGGGCATGTTTTCCAAAATATATTTATGTCTCATGTCATTATTTTTTATTGTGAATACTTATTGTACTTTTTATGATTGTATTCGCTTGGTTGATTCTTCAAGAAAATAAATAACCGTAAAAGAAAGCGCACAAAAAATGTTTTATTTTTATTTAAAATTTAATACGAAATTCTCGGTGATTATTGAAAAGTTTGTCAAATCCGTATATCTCAAGACCTGTTCATTTTCGGCCATACATTAGGTGGGATCAAAATTGTAGCATTGTGACTCCCCAATCACGCCCTGCCAGAAACTTGTCGAGTTCCCAGTAACACTGTATAAAACGATATGTATACTAATAATATTTGTATCAATCAAATCTCCATTAGTATTTCTAAATATATGTGCAAGGTTTTATTCAAGTTGAAATTGTAATGCAAAGATACTTAAATGTTGTTAGTGTAGTAGTAAACTTTTTGCATTTATTAGCTTAGAATCTATGTGCTTTATTGTTAAAAGTACTTTATATTATTATTGATATAATTGAATATTTGATATAATTGAATATTTGATATAATTGAAGTTGTTAAATAAAATAATACAACAAATATTGACATTTATTCGAACAAACTATTATTATTAAACCTTCAATCTGTTAAAAACTGACTCTAGTCTGTTTTCTATATTTTTATATTTTTCGCATACACATCCTATCGCATGAGTGCTGCTAGTAAATAGAATATGTTAGATATAGAGCTTTTATGTCCCCTAAGAAACACGTAGCATTATCATTATTATATTCTACCTAGTTCATTAGCTATAATCAATATTCGAAAATTGTCTAGGTATTCGAAATTAGCAATAAAACTACATCGTAATAATAAATATTTAGTTTACCCAGAATGTTGACACGTTAAATTAGACTGCAGATAAAATTAAAACTGTATAGCAGTGAAAACTTGCAGTTTTAGTGTTGAATGTGAGGAATGAACGTGCTTAAGTTTTCTTGGATTAAACTGACTCAAACAGAAGCTTTGGATCAACCACGTGGAAAGTTAGAGAAAGCTTTCTTTGAATCTACATACAGACTTACATATATAATGGGTACGATATATTATGTGGTATAAACATTGACTTTATTTTACTTAGCATTTTGAGGAAACATACGGTCGTGGAAAGATTTTAACATTTATCGGTTTCGGGTCTCTTCCATTATATATAACTCTTCCATTCCTCGAAAATCTTTCAACTTATGAATATGCCAACTGCTATTGATTAAGTGAATTCAAATATTACATTTAATTATTCACCATCACCATCATTACAGCCCTTCACGAGTCCATAGGGATTTTACGAAAATTCCACAAAACACGTTCCTAAGTTCTTCATCCATTGACTTCCTGCATGTGTTAACAAGTCGTCACTTCACCTACAAAGGGGCTGCCCTATACTTCGCTTACCGGTACGAGTTTGCCACTTTTCTTCCTCATCCGTAGTTGGTTTTTCCATCTATATGGCTAACTTAATATAATTTATTTTTTTATAGAATAAGGCAAACAAACGAGTACACATTCCACCTGATGTTAAGTGGATTAAGAATCAAAATGCAGATGTGTTATCACCCCTGAGGAATTACAATTTTATGCGTCGCAGTGTTACCTGTATTTAATTAAGCAACATGCCTGTACGAGGACTACTTTCAAAACTGTATAGTGGGTTTTGGAGGAATACGTGGCTATTTTCAAAATCATCTCTACCTCCACATTCATTTAGACATTGTTTAAAAAATCTCAATTATAAAAGTAAATTGATAGGAAAACAATGACGCCAGTTTCTTGTCAGTTCTTTATGTGAAGGTTTCACTTTAGAAATAGCGGTAGATTTTGACTTTGTTATGAATTTTCAGTAAACCTAAGTTAAATAAAATATTTTTCACTTTTTAGGATTAACTACATAACCATTATATGTGCTTCTTTTTTGTTAAATTTGCAGGCTTTTCGACATCTGAACAAAGTACATATTATTCAGTTTACAACGGAACCGTAAAGTCAATAATTGGTTTATTTACTTGTTGCGAATTGTGGAACCTCTACAGCGAGACCAACAACTTAAATAGCATCATAAACAATATCAACGTAACTCTTATCCATGTTCCTGCAGTCTTTCGATACAAAAATATAGTATTTACTTCTTTTTTTATTCCTTTAAAAAAAATTTAGTTCCTATTTAAAACAATATATGTACAAAAAATAATTGCAGTGGGAATTTAGAAATATGTAAAAAATCACCAAACCTTAGATGTCAGACTAAGCTATGTATGAGAGTTTTTTCCGCCCATTTCATCCCGTAAGCGTATTAAGAGGTGACATGATCAGCAGGCTGTTAAAGATTAATTATGTAGTTAAAATTATGATGGAATAAAAAAATTACATAATGTATCGAAGTTACCCATGTGATGACGGCGTAAAAGAATCCGTCATATAATTTCGTCCCGTGGGTATCGTAGAATAAAGTAGAATAGAAGGTCGATTCTAACTCTATTCTGGCATTAGCGGGCGGAAGTGGCGTCAAAATTATGAGACGTTTTGTACTGCGCTCGTTAATTAGCCTGCCAAGATTGACGAAAAAGAGTATCCTCAAACTAATGGAAGAGATCTATTCCCAGGAGTTTTGTGAATCTTACGATCTGATAATGATGCATATTCAACGTATTATGAGACTTGGCAACTGCTGAGCAAAGCGCTTGCTGATATTGTCATATTAAGCATGTAGGCTAAGTATGATCTCCGTATATCGAATAGTATATAATCTATTATTTCCAGTGTCACCAGTAAACTGTTATAGCCATTTAAATGTTGGTTTATAACGTGCCCGATGATAAAGAAAATGTAGTCTACTTTTTTTAATAGAATACAGGGTGAGAAATTAACATGCAGACCACCTAAGTGATTAGGATATGTATATCATATCTGGACATATTATGTAGATTAATTTATGTTACATATATAATTTATGTTAAATATCTCAGGTTTGGAATAAATCTTTCTTCAAAAAACTGGCGACATCCAAACAATCACCGTATTTTGATATTTCCGCCGAAGAGAGAAACGAATTGATGGTTTTATGGGCTTCCAAAAATGAAAAATATTTGAAATTATTGCTTACATTGGGATCTTGTACTTTGTTTATGCAGGTTATGTTTTTCATAGTGGTTAAGATTTTATCAAGTCCCATTTGGAAAACGTAAGGGTAAGTTAAGTGTTTAGCCTAGCATTTATAATCCATTGCGAAATAAATAAAGTGATGCTATTCAGTCTCCTACACTTAGAACTTTAAATTTTGCGACAATTTACAAGCACGAGATTGTAGAGTTCAAGAGAAAATCGAAATTCATTAAAACTACTTATTATGCAACTAAACGGAAGCTGGATTGGGTTACAATATCGTATGATACAAGATGAAAAATCATTAATATACGAACGTTACACACACATATCCTTATATGTTAGTAGAATTTAACTCTAGGAACCTGAAAAGATATTTTGTTGTTTAGATTTCAAACTTAGATATTAAGTAAAAGTGAATCGAAAATTAATTTTATTGATTTAGGTTAAAAAAAGACCAATTATATATAAGGTCGGGGAAAAATTTTCTTCGTATTATGTACATCATTTTTGTCATTTTGTTCGATAGCTTGTTGCCATCTTGTAGGTAGTGACATATTCCCATTGCTCGAAATCTTGGGACTTTTGATTAAAAAAAATGACAAGTAGTTTTGAGAGTCCTCGCTTTATGTTAACCTAACACTACACAAACAATTCTGAAGTAACCGAAACAGGTAACAATCTGAGAGTGCAAGGTTAAGACTATATGGTGGATTTTTTAACACTTCCCAACCAAGCTCTCTCAATTTTTGCTTAGTAGCCAAACATGTGCTGGCGTTGTCATGATGAAAGACCACTCCTTTTCTGTTGTTCAATAGGCACAGACCGTTTTTTCTCAATGTTTGCTTGATTCTCATTTGTTTTTGGCAGTGAAGATCCGAATCGATGATTTGCACGGTGGCAAATGCTCATAATAAACGATGCCCTTGCAATCCCACCATATACACAGCATCACATTATTGCGTGTTAATGCGGGTTTCGCTAGTCTGTGGAGCTTGACTAATCCTTGAACCTTTGACAATGATTTTTTTCACACGATATTATCGTATGTAATTTACTTTTCATCACTAGTGATCAATCTTTTCAAAAATAGTTCTATTTCATTACGTTTCAATAGAGAATCGCAAATGAGTACAAGATTCATTACGTTTCTTTCAGTGAGCTCGTGTGGTACCCAAATATCGTGCTTTTTGAATAGGTAGACTTTTTCAAATGAGTCAAAATTTTTTTGTGTTCAATCCCCAATTCTTCGGCTACGTCGAAATTACTGATATGCCGATCTTGCTCGACTTTTTCAAAAATGGCATCAATGTTATCCTTTAATGGGCGACCAGAGCAAGCTGCATCTTTCACTTCAAAATATCTGGACTGGAACAGAAACATAAACATAAACTTTTTATTCAATATAGATTATAAATAATACTTATTAAAAGTTACTCTTTTAATTTACCACTGATTTGAAAAAAAACCTCTTTCCTGGGAAGAACCAGCAAAAAAAACCAGCGGGACTTTTTTTTTAATAACAGCTTACAATCATGTATGTTACACAATACACCACACAAAACAAATTAGAAATAGCTTGGTAGCGATCATCTCATCCCCAGGGGTTATTATCATCCATAAATTCCTTAAAATTTAGTTTTCATCTTGTGATTTAAAATTTAACTAGTGTCCGACCGAAACAGAATTTTCAACCGAAACCGAATCCGAAATCGAACTTTCGGTCTGGGTGTCAGTTTCAGCGGAAACCGAAACCGAAACTTATTTAAATATGTTAATTTTTTTATTGTTTACTGAAATCTGGTATATTTTTATACATATACAGATGGGTAATACATGTTAATGAAAAACAGTAATTGTAATATCATGTAGCAATATATTTATTTATTTTAAAGTAAAAATCAACAATTTGACGTTAAGAAATACTTCTTGAAATCAATTTTGTAAAAAAAAATCAACACTTACACCCATAAAAAGTTACTCACTAATTGAAAACATATTTTATTTTGTTCTCAATATTGTTAATATTATTCAACGAGAGCATTAATATATCACACAACACACACACAATATACACACAACTTAAAAACATTCCAGAAAATATACAAAACCTGATCAAAGTTCAAAATCTTTAATAAACTTTAATTTACTTTAATAAAGTTTGTATAAAAGGAGTTATTATAGTGACCGACCGAAGATTCGGTTTCGATTTCGGTTTCGGCAAGTTTCGGCTAAAAATCTAGTTTCGGTAATAGTTTCGGTTTCGGTAAAAAATCTGCCGTACCTTCGGTGGCGGCGAAACTCAGTGTTCGTGGATTATCGTGCGTCGTTCGGATGAGTTCGTAACTCGTGTCATCTTAGGCAGGAATCGATGTTCATTCGCGAGAATTTGTGGTTTATCAAATCTAATGTAATGGCGGTATATGTAGTATATGATCACAAACTGCAGACTTCCCGGAACGTTGGTGCTTCACCTCAGCTATGTTTTTTTATAGGAAAGGGGGCAAACGAGCATGCGGCTCACCTGATGGTAACTGACTACCGCCGCCCACGAACAACTGTTACACCAGAGGAACCAGGGGAGTTGCAGATGCGTTCGCAGCCTTTTAAAAAGGAGTAGGCTCTTTTCTTGAAGGTCCCTAAGTCATATCAGTCCGGAAAAATCGCTGGTGGTAATCGATTCCACAAGGAAGTTGTGCGAGGAAGAAAACATCTTCTAAATCGCACAGTGGTGGAACCGCCAATCATGCAGATGATGTGGATGGTGTCGGGAGTTCTGCCGCGATGTGTGTTCATGAAATTTGGCGGTCGTCGACGATTCGAGCCGCTCTGCGCTGGATGCGGTCAAGTGGAAGGAGCTGGCATGGGGAGCTCCTGCTCAGAAATGGGAACAGTATTCGATATGAGGCCGAACTTGCGCCTTGTAAAATTGCAGACGAT